TTGACTTACGGTCAGGATACCATCAAATCCCGGTAAAGAAAGAGGACATCCCAAAGACTGCGTTCGTACTCGTTATGGTCATTACGAGTTTACGGTAATGCCCTTTGGTTTGACCAATGCTCCTGCAGTATTCATGGATCTCATGAATAGTGTATTCTGACCTTATCTTGATCAATTCGTGGTTGTATTCATCGATGATATTCTTGTCTATTTGAAGAATCGAGAAGATCATGCGAGACATTTGGAGATAGTACTCAGTATACTACGAGAACATAAACTGTATGCCAAACTATCAAAGTGTGAATTCTGGCTTGATGAAGTTACGTTTTTGGGACATGTGATTTCTAAAGAAGGTGTTAAAGTGGACCCCAGTAAAATATCTGCCATCACCGAGTGGAAGGTTCCAAGGAATGTTCGTGAAGTGAGAAGCTTTCTAGGATTAGCTGGATACTATCAACGATTTGTTGAAGGCTTTTCCTCGATCGCAACTCCACTTAACAAACTTCTAAGAAAAGATGTGAAATTCGTATGGACCGATGCTTGTCAGCAAAGCTTTGAGGAACTAAATAAATGTATGACAGAAGCACATGTACTGACACAACCAGTACCAGGTGTAGACTACACGATCGTTAGTGACGCATCTCATAATGGCTTGGGATGTGTACTCATGCAAGACGGAAAAGTCGTGGCATACGCATCAAGGCGGTTGAAGCCTCACGAATGTAACTATCCTACTCACGATCTTGAGTTAGCAGCAGTTGTATTTGCTCTGAAGATATGGCGTCATTATCTCTTTGGAGAGACAAAATATATTCATACAGACCACAAAAGTCTCAAATACCTTCTAACTCAAAAAGAGTTGAACCTGAGACAAAGAAGATGGTTGGAATTGATCAAAGACTACGCCTATTACATCGACTATCACCCTGGCAAGGCTAACGTAGTTGCTGACGCATTGAGCCGAAAGATGATAGCCGAACTCCGAATCCAGCCTACTCTTGAGAACGAAATTCACGTTGCACAAAAACATGATGACTACTGTTTGAAGACTTGTGAACTTGTCTCTAAGGGGGAGAGACAAGATTTCACTATAAATGATGGAATTTTATTCTACTGGAATCGTTTGGTAGTTCCTGGTGGCGAAGTGAGGAAACGTTTAATGCGTGAATCTCATGAAACCACATATACCATGCATCCTGGCAGTAATAAAATGTTCCAAGATCTAAAGAAGACATATTGGTGGCCCACAATGAAGCGGGAAATTTCTGAATTCACTACGCGATGTCTAACATGTCAACAAGTCAAGGCTGAACACCAAGTGCCAAGTGGATTGTTACATCCACCTACCATCCCTGAATGGAAGTGGCAACAAATTACGATGGACTTCGTGATCGAACTTCCATTATCAGCCAAGAAGAATGACGCTGTCTGGGTAATCGTTGACTGATTAACCAAGTCATCTCATTTAGTTCCTATTCAACGTGATATGTCTTTGAAGAAATTGGCAGAATTGTACATCCGTGAGATCGTAAGATTACATGGTGTGCCTTTGTCTATCATTTCTGATCGTGACCCGCGATTTACGTCGCAATTTTGGAAGAGTTCGTAGAAAGCCTTAGGTACTAAACTCAACTTTAGTACGGCATTTCATCCTCAAACAGACGAACAATCTGAAAGGACAATTCAAATTCTTGAAGATATGATGAGAGCATGTGTAATTGATTTTGGAAGCAAATGGGAACAATACATACCGCTAATGGAGTTCGCTTATAACAATAGTTATCAAGCGAGTATCCAAATGGCCCCGTACGAAGCCTTGTATAGGAGACGTTGTAGAACCCCAATATGCTGGACAGAATTAAGCGAGCAAAGGCTTGAAGGACCTGATCTCGTACGCGAAACTGAAGAAAAGGTTCGTCTAATCAGAGAAAGACTGCAAGTGGCTTCCGATCGTCAAAAATCATATGTTGACTTGAAACGTCATGAGATCGAATACAATGTTGATGACAAGGTGTTTCTGAAAGTCTCACTATGGAAGAAAGTGTTACGGTTCGGTAGGAATGGAAAACTAAGTTCGAGATATATTGGGCCCTATCGAATCACTGAACGTGTGGGTCCAGTAGCCTATCGGTTAGAGCTTCCACCAGAATTGAACAAGATCCATGACGTATTCCATGTATCGATGTTGAAAAGATATCGTTCCGATCCATCGCATATCTTGACTAAGGGAATTGTAACTCTTGACGAACAATTGACTTATGAGGAGGAACCTGTACAAATTCTAGCACGAGAAGTCAAACAATTGATAAACAAATCTGTACCTCTAGTCAAAGTACTATGGAGGAATCACTCGACTGAAGAGACAACATGGGAAACCGAAGAGTCAATGAGAATGCAATATCCGAATCTCTTCAACCAATGACTCAGGTAATTTCAAGGACGAAATTATTTTAAGGGGGAGAGAAATGTAACACCCCGAAAATAGGCCTATCAGAATTAATTAATTGATAATTAATTAATTACTGAGAAGGACCCAAAAATAAGTAAATTCTAAAGTTTGTCAATAATTAATAAAAATTATATCGTTGTGTAGAGTTTGACTGTCTGACCCCAACGGTTCAATCGGATTTCAATTTGGAAAAAGTTAGACCAAAAAGTGTACCCCAACTGGGACCAAAATTAGTCCCAATTAGGGACTACAAACCAAACGTCGCCCTGTTCAATTACGCCGATTCCAAAATGCAACTCGCCAAACAATCACAGAAGCAACCAAAGCCTGTGTCTTCTTCTTCTCCACTGGCCTATTTAAGCACAACTCAACTCCCTCAATTCCTCACCAAAAACATTCATTCTTCCTCCTATATTGTTCCGTGCTGAGAGTAGAGTGGAGTGGTGCTGTCATCTTTGTGTGAGGTCGCCAGAGCAGTGAGATAGAGTTGCCAGAAGTTTCGCCGGAAAATCGTCAAAACCTTCCTTACGCTTCAAGGTAAGCCCGTAGATATATCTAAAGACTAGAATGTTCATGTAGGTTGTTTTTACGTTCATAAATAGTCGTTTAGTTGAGTTTTGTGTTTGACATGTTTGAAGAACCAAGAATCATAAACCTTGAATTTGATGTTAAAAATATGTTTTAATGATTCTAAAATGATCTATGAACCTGGAAGAACATTTCTATATAATTTAATTGAAGTTTGGTGATTAAAAATGATAATACTCGAAACTGACCAGAGGAAGAAGATGATGAACAGTAGCCGAAAATCGATTATGTACTTCCTAAAAATCGATTAGAATTATGTCCAGACGAGGATGTTCGAAGTCAGTATATAATCGATTATTTAAAATATAAAAATCGATTTAAAAAGTATTAATCGATTATTTAGAAACTAAAAATCGATTTTTAGCAATTAATTGATTATTTAAAATATAAAAATCGATTTTTAGCTATTAATGGATTATTTTAAATATAAAAATCGATTTTTAGGTACTAATTGATTATTTTAAAAATAAAAATTGATTTTCTTCAAGTACAGATCTTGTTCCGAAAATATTACTGAAAATATGCTCTAAAATCCTATTTTTGTTACAGGCCATGAGAGAGCCATCATAGGTGTGTCCAGTAGCAATAGTTCATTCAAGCATTCCAAATAGTCACATCTTCAATATGTTGAACTTAGTCTCCTTGTACAGGTGTGGTGACCAGTCCAAATGCTTAACCTCATCAAAGTTCATTTCAAAACAGTGTCCAGATTCTCAACCAAGGCCATAAGACCTCACCATGTAACCTGGCCAATCTGAAGAATGATTGGCGGCACTTTTCATGGTTAAAATCCCAGGAGAAATCAAAGTCAAGAGAGAAGTGAAAGGAAAAGAGAAAGAAGGGGGGGGNCCCAACCTGGTACCCAATCCTTACTCTATGTATCCAAAAGGGGTACACAGAGGTAGGTTTGTTTCCACCACCCCAAGGCAAGGTAAACCCAACCACACCCCAGAGAGCCCTAGTCCACAAGTCAAACATGTATCAGGTCACTCTGAAGAATGAGTGCTCCAATACATTAAGACTCATGTCCAAGAAAAGAAAGGAGGGGGAAGAGGACAACCACAGAAAGAAGGGAGGGAGAGGGGGACAAAGAAAGGAAAGGTGTGAGACACCCCAGGCAGAACCCTAGCTTCTCTCTACATATCCAGAAGGGGTATGTAGAGGTAAGCCAGTTTTCACCACCCCATTAGTAAACTAACAAGGTCCACCCCCACCCCAAACCCAAGTTATCACACCAAGGATTCAAAATCATGGTTTCAAGAGCCCACCATCAAGAAAACCACAAACCAAAATCCACATCAGTGATCTGTTCCTTACCATCAAGAACCAAACTCCCAGGCCCTAGTTACTCCCTAGGGGTCCACCAGGGCATCCTCAGGGTGTTGCTAGTTCCAAAACAACAGGGCCCACCAGTGAGGTTGTATTTCCATGAGCAACCAAGGTTTACTCCTGGATATACTCCCTGTAACCCCTAACCAGGACCCAAAGGTATTGGTGGTGATTTACCCAAAGGGTAAATAATCATCAATAAATTTGTTTCCTAACTGCCAACCACAAGAAAATGCAAAGGCCATTTAATCAAAGATTAATGGTCTAAGTTTTGAAGAGAGGAAAAACAATTTTTGAAAAGTAGCTTTGGCCCAAAATACTCCGATTCGGCCAGGAATCTATAAGGTGTGTATTGTTCCAAAATGCCTCCCAGCAACCCCCAGAAATCCTACCAGTCCAAGGCAACTCACAAGTTAGCCAAGGACAGTAGGTTTCCAGCCCCTAACCTGGCCTAAGGATGAACTTAGAGATCCATCAAGGCATCTCCAAGATCTGCCTTGTTCCCACCCCAACCACCAAGACCACCAATGCGATAACACACCCATTAGTAAAACCAGTTTACCAAAGGGTGTGAGATTACCAGCCCCAAACCTGGACCCAAAACTATTGATGGAGGTTTGTCCAAGGGGATAAACACCCATCACCAGTTTTGTTTCCAAAAAGCCACCACCAAGAGCAAGCATAACCATCCCTCAAACAGAGGGGAGAGGTTAGGCTAAGAGGACCAACTCAAAAGAAGCCAGGACAATCTGTCCAGAGAGGAAGGGTGGAGTTACAATGCAATCATAACATCAGGGAAGAATCTATAAACAATCTTATAGACTCCCACCTTGATTTGGCAGACAGTGGCATCTTTGTTGACAGCTTGGTTATCAAAATACACAGAATTCCTCAACTTCCAAATGTGATGGATTGTGCTGAGGGTGGCCAGTTTCCAGAGCTTCCCAACATCCCCATGTTGTCCGTGCCTTCTACACACCCATTTCATGGATCTTTCAATAGTTGATAGGGCAGGGGAAATGTGTAACCAGTCTCTGATGTTCTTCCAAATAGCTTTGCTGATAGTACACTCAAAGAAGAGGTGGTCAATTGTTTCCTCTCCTTCATTGCAGAGACTACACTTCCTATCCATGTCCACAAAGCTAAGATTAACCTTTGTGGGAAGTCTCTTGCGCAGTGCCATCCAAGCAGTAACTGAATATCTTGGGGGAATGTAACTCTGCCATATAGTTTTCATCCAGGGTTGCTTGACACCATGAACCCTTAAAATGTCATACAGTTTGGCAGTGTTCCCCTCATCCTCCTCCCAAAGGTTACTAATAGTTTCTTCCACATTATCATAGGCATCTCCAATGTTATGAACAAGCTTGTCTCTCACCTTAGCCAGTTTTTTGAAGAGGTGTGAATCCCCCTTTTTGGGGATCCAAGTCCAGACACTTCTCCCTTGGAGGTAAACAGCATGCACCCACTGTACTCAAAGGGTTTCCTTGTTGGAGGCAATGTTCCACAGATTTTTGGCCAACAGTGTCTGATTCCAAGCAAAGGAGTTTCTGATGCCAAGGCCTCCTTCCTCCTTGGGTTTGAAAATGTCATCCCAAGCCACTTTATAAAACTTACTTCCCTAAATGGAGGATCTGCACATAGAGATGATTCTATTGAGGACAAATTTGTGGATGGGGAAAGCTTGGAGCCAGAATTCTTCTATACCCTGTATTTTATGAATTCACATCTTCCACCCAATGACAGTGTTTTTGTGTTCCATCTTCTAATATTTGCATCAACAATTTCCACAAGGGGGGCAAAGTCTCTTTCAGTTGCCCTTTGAGATGTGAGTGGAAGGCCCAAGTATTTAACAGGAAGCCTACCCTGAGGGAAGTTAACAAGGTTGAGAAGCAATTGTGTATTGCCCTTGATTTGTCTAGCCAGGTAGATGTTGGATTTGTGGGCATTCACATGCAGTCCAGACACCACAGAAAAATGCTTAAGGGCATCAGCTAGGACCTGGACAGAATTCTGATCACCTCTAGAAAACATCATAATGTCATCTGCAAAAGCAATATGGGAAATCTTCAGTTTGGAGCATTTGGAGTGATAACTTAACTTCCTTTCCCTGGTCATCTTGTTGAGTACTCTTGAAAGGTATTCAATGCAAAACAGGAACAGTGTAGGTGCCATGGGGTCCCCTTGTCTGATCCCCCTTTTACACTTAATGAAACCATGTAGCCCTCCATTAATTGAGAGTGAGAAGCCTGCAGTGGTAACACATTCCATTAATGGTGTCATAGGCCTTAGTAATATCCACCTTGAGCATGCAGTTTGGTGGTGATCTCTTTCTGGCATAACCTCTAACAAGGTGTTGTGCTAACAATATGTTATCAACCATATTCCTTCCTTTCACAAAAGCATCCTGAGACTAATTGATAAGCCCAGGTAGGACACTGCTCATCCTATTAGATAGGATTTTGGTAATGATTTTGTAAACAACATTAGAGCAGGCAATAGGCCTGAAGTCTTTCACCCCAGGATTGTCCTTCACCTTGGGTATAAGCACCACCGTGGCATGGTTGAATTATTTGAGGAGTTTTCAACTTCTAAAGAACTCAGAAACAGCTCCAAACAGGTTTTGACCAACAATGTTCCATTTCTCCTTAAAGAAGGCTGCTGTATAGCCATAGGGCCAGGAGATTTGTTATTGCCTATTGAGTATAGGGCCTCCCTGACCTCCTGAATCTCAACCTCCATTATGAGTTGTGTAGCATCCACGTCAGCAAGACAAGGACCTTCAGAGAAAACACTCCAGTCTAGCTGTTGAATGGGGACAGTACAGCCAAATAGTTGAGTGAAGTAATGAATGAATTCCTTAGCAATGTCTTCAAGTGATTAAGTCAGATTCCCTTGGTCAGTAACAAGGAAAGGGATTCCATTTGATGCTGCCTTCTTTTTCATCAAGTTATGGAAGAACTTACTACATTTGTCCCCTTCAATGAGTAGCTCACACTTGGTTTTCTGTTGAAAGAAACTTTTTTCTGAATCTTGAAGGAAATTGGCTCTCTTCCTTATGACCTCACTTTCAAGAATGAGGGTTTGATTATTAGGGTCAAGAACCAATTTACCCATTATATTTCTGTACTTGTTTCTGGCATCCAAGACTTTGATCGAGATGTGACCATACTCTGCTCTGTTGATCTCTTTCAAAGGATGTTTCAAAAGCTTGAGCTTCCTACACAGCCTGTACTGTCTGGTGCCCTCAACCCTTTTATTCCAGACCTCCTTTACGGCATCATCAAAACTCTCATGCTTCAACCACATATTGAAGAATTTGAAGAGCTCTTTCAAGAGTAAAATGTAAATTATTATTACCCAATCAAAAAGGTACATCAAAGTTATATGCTTAACCATCAACATGGTTACACGCATACGGTACAATGTTACAAGTACAAGGTGACCAAATTACAAGCAACTACAAACGATACATCATTACATCGGTTACAAAGACGGCCCATCAAAATCCCTTCGAAGAGGCATTACGCTCTTCTACAACACAGGGAGGCCAAAAAACAAAAGTATAAATCATCAAGTTCACTACATATCGCATACCACACTATCTTATAACTAGGCATACCCAATTCCCTTCAAAGAGTCAAGCAACTCTTCTACAACACAGGGAAGCAAAAAAATAAACGGGAAGCTAAATATTCTTCGTTCAGGCTAAGGTAGGGAGATCACATCATCATTTTCAAGAGAATTCCAATGAGTTGCATCACTATCCATAAATAAACCAGAAGCAAAATCAGCAGGCCATTCCAAGCATAGTCAGGGCTGTTATGGTTGTCTCATATCATCAGTCCACAAGGTTAACAGTACTCAGCTTCATGTCTTCCTTAATATAACCAGCAGTGTCCAATCTTCAAGGCAAATCAAAGAAATCTGATCCACACGATGTCCACACCAGCTATCACTCCAAATACCCAATGATCATATTCTCCCTTATGCAAATAAGGTGAGGAGTATGGATGGGAGTGTTGCTGGTGAGAATGATCAAGCAACCAGAGTTTTCAAAGGGCACAGCCTCAATCAATTATCAAATCCTCAAAGCAAACAACCCAGAAGGTTAGGTGAAGTGAGGGGAGGCAAACCATTTGACACATCCTATCAAACAAAAGAATGGAGTGTGTAAAATGGTTTGGACCCAGAGATTCAGCAAAGAAGGAGAGAAGAGAAAAGAGACAGAAGAGGAAAGGGAGAAAAGGGCAAAAAAGAAAGGGGGAGAGGGGGAAAGCAAAAAGAGGCATGGATGTATGAAACACCCCAACCAGGAACCCAAACCACTCTTTATACATCCAGAAGGGGTGCACAAAGAGTGGTTTGTTTCCACCACCCAAAGGGTCCACCCGCCCAGAACCCCACCCAGGTCATAGGCCAAAATGTTCATAACCAGTCTGAAGAATGAATGGGTATGAGCAAAGGCTTACAACCTAGAGAGAAGAGGAAGAAAGAGAGAGGTAGAAAGGAGAAAGAAGGGGAAAGAGGGGGATGAAAGGAAGGAGCAGGTGTAAAACACCTCAACCAGGACTTAAACCAGCCTCTATACATCCAAAAGGGGTACACAGAGGCTAATCTAATTCCACCACCCCAACAGCAAAGCCATTAGGGTCCACCCACCAAGCCCAGGATCCAAACCAACCAAAAGCTACTTACAAAGCATCTAAAGGTTGGTAAGTATCCAAACCACCAGCCACCAGTGAGATATATCATCCATAAGTAACCACAGTTTACCCATGGATCTTGTATCTCCAACCCCTAGCCAGGACCCAAGAGTGGTTTTGGTGATTTACCCAAAAGTAATTAACCAATATCACCCTTGTTTCCAATAACATACCAAAAGGAGAAATCAAGGACCTCAAGTCAAAAGGCCCAGGTTTGAGGAAAAAACAAGGCTAGTGAAAAAAGAGAGGCCCAAGTGACATCCTAGAAATCCATCAAGGCATTTATAGGGTGTACCTTGTTCCAAACACCAACCAAAAAACCACCAATGAGATGCAACATCCATAGGTAACCAAAGTTTACCCCAAGATGTTGTGCCTCCAACCCCTATCCAGGACCCAAGACTGTTTTTGATGAATCACCCAAGGGTAGTTGACCAAGACCAATCTTGTTTCCACACTGCCAACCACCAGGAGAAAAAAGACCTCTAATCAAGATTAGTGGTCTAAACTGTGGGGATCAAAACCAGTGCAGGGGTACACCCCTCACAAAAGCCAATGTAGGGGAAAGAACAATACTTACAGTGCAATGTTGGAGTGGGGGTACATTCTATACAGGATTTTAAAAACTCCAACCTTAATCTTCCCAATCACTATCTTGGTGCTGACCCTGTGGCTGTCAAAATAAACTTCATTTCTCATTTTCCAGATATGATGAATTGTGCTCAAGGTAGCCAACCTCCACAAGTTTTTCATATTTCCATGGACCCTATGTATCTTGAGTAGCCATTTGATAGCCCTTTCCACTGTTGATAGACTATGGGAAATATGTAGACATTCCTTAATATCTTTCCATATGGTCTGTGATACCTCACAAGCAAAAAAGAGGTGATCATAAGTCTCCAATTCTTTCCCACAGAGGGTACACATTCTGTTGTCCATATTAACGAACCCCAGGTTCATTTTGGTGAGAAGTCTCTTCCTCAAAACCAGCCAAGCTGTAAAGGAGAATCTTGGAGGGATATAGTACTGCCAAATAACCTTCATACAAGGTTTGCTAGGTCTTTGGACTCTCAGAATATTATACACTTTGGCAGTGCACAACTCACCATTTTCCAAGATGCTATCCATGTCAGTGTGGCCTTGTAGTTGTGGGCCAAGTTTCTGAACAAGGATGTCCATGACTTCAACAAGTTTTTTAAACAAATGTGAGTCACCTTTTTTAGGGACCCAGCTCCAAATATCACCATTCTAAAGATAAAAAGTGTGTACCCATTGGACCCACAGAGTCTCCTTCCTTGAAGCAATATTCCACAAGTTTTTTGCCATCAAGGCTTGGTTCCAATTTTCAGAGTTTCTCAGACCAAGTCCCCCTTCCTCTTTAGGTTTGCAAATATCATCCCAAGCCACCTTAAAGAATTTGCTACCCGAGAGGAAAGATCTGCAAAGGGAAGTAATTCTTGTGAGAATACTTTTGTGCATAGGAAAGGCTTGAAGCCAGAACCCCTCAATGCCTTGAATCACACTTCTGATTAACTCAATCGTACCAGCACTGGATAGAGTTTTTGTGTTCCATCTTCTAATATTATCATCAATCATCTCAACTAACGGGGCAAAGTCTCTCTCAGAGGCTCTCTGAGAAGTAAGTGGAAGCCCCAGGTATTTGACACGCAAGATTCTATGGGTGGTGGTGCATGGCCGTTCTTAGTTGGTGGAGCGATTTGTCTGGTTAATTCTGTTAAGGAACGAGACCTCAGCTTGCTAACTAGCTATGCGAAGGTATCCCTTCGTGACAAGCCTCTTAGAGGGACTATGGCCTCTTAGGCCGCGGAAGGTTCAGGCAATAACAGGTCTGTGATGCTCTTAGATGTTCTGGGCCGCACGCGCGCTACACTGATGTATTCAATGAGCGTATAGCCTTGGCCGATAGGTTTGGGTAATCTTTGAAATTTCATCGTGATGGGGATAGATCATTGCAATTGTTGGTCTTCAACGAGGAATTCCTAGTAAGATGTGGATCCAATGAGATGGGGTCTAGGGGAAGCATCTCCAATTTTTTTAAGAGAATGTGAAACGATAAAAATAGTGTTAAATTTCATCTTATTTTGAATTATTACGTTTAATTTAAAACCAAGTAAATAGATAATTTTAAATTTATAAATTATACAAAAAATAGTGAAACGATAAAAATAGTGTTAAATTTCATCTTATTGTGAATTATTATGTTTAATTTAAAACCATGTAAATAGATAATTTAAAGTTTAAATTAATGTTTTAAAATGTTTCAGGCTGTTTTTTCAAAAAAATGGAGATTGAGAAAATTTAATTGAAGCATACAATTTTTTTTTTTGTGAGGACTTTAGTGTTTCAAATTTTAAATAATAATAATAATAATAATAATAAATTCATAATAATAACAGAAGTGGAAGAAGAAAAGATAGTAAAACCACTAATTAATAATAATAATAACTAATAATAATAAATTAATATTAATAATAATAATAAATTAATAAATATAGTAGAAGTGGAAGAAGAAAAAAGAGGGGAAGGGTGGGGGCTGGATGGGATGGAAAGGCCTGAAGGAGATGATGCCGATGGTCCCATTATGTTTGATGGAGGAGGGATGAAAAATCTCCTCCCAATTAATTTCGTTATATTTTAAGATACCTCCCAGTATATTTTAAAAATTAAAGGTATTTGGAAGTTCTTACCACAAAACTTGTAGTACCCAGCAGCGATTCCTTGTTTCATAAGTAACTATATACTTCACTTATCCCTGAGTATTTATTTATTTTTGACATTTTTCTGTCAAAATTGAAAAGCTTTGACGTCTGATTAAATAAAAATGATACTCCGTATTAGATATAGATACAAAACTGGTTTCATATGTTTTATTGTGTTTTATATATATATATATATATATATATATATATATATATATATATGAGAATGAGATGCACCAAAATTGTGAGATCTAAGGGTCAAGATTTCATCAAAATTAGATGCACCAAAATGGTGCGAAAATGCATCACATCGAAATGCACCATAAACCTTCGAAAATGCACTATCTCAAAATCTGAGCGCAGGATGCAATCTGAGCCGCACGATGCATCAGATCCGACGGCTAGATTTTATTCTCATTTCTCTCCACAAGGTGCATTCTCACGGGAACCAACCCATATATATATATATATATATATATATATATATATATATATATATATATATATATATATATATATAT